CCGACAAAAATTCCTGTATATCATCATTGTCATTAAAGTTGGGCTGATTGATGTGCTCTTGATCATAACTAATAAGAGAAGATGATGTTGATACTAATTGATTATTTTTATTTTCAATTCGGCATTCTTTTGTAGATTCAACCGATGGTCCTAAATAAGTCGCACCACTGCTTGACGGTTCTAGTAATAAATAATCTTTTTCTGTTTCTTCTTGTGCTAATCGTCTCTTATGCCTCGAAGAAATATGACGATGGTTTCTTCCTTTATCCATTATATTGCACAAAAATTATATAACTTATAAAAAAATTCAAATACGTATTAATTTATAGTAATTATTATACATACAACCGTATGGAAATTCAAACCTATTATAAAATATGAAAACTCAACTTTTACTTTTACTATTTGATTTAAATAATTATTTTTCTTAAGTTAAAAATTTATTTATTATCATATACGTACGATTCAGATAATAATCGCGACGTGTGTCTAAATAACGTTCTCGAAACTGTCTATTTTTATATAATTTATTGAGGTTATTGGCGCTACTGCGGGGTACACCCGCTGCCATCATTATATTTTGTTAAATATGTATCAACTACGTGTTTGTATATTCATACATTTATATGACATACGCAATACATCTGCTACGTATTGCATACTTATTCAACTTGGATATTTCATACCCATCTCGTTAATTACATATTTAATACGTTATATTCGATATGAAATGAAACGTAATGTAAATGCAATATTGGTATATATTTAATATGTATTTGCAATGAAAGGTGCTGTGCGGGACTGTGTGTTGACTGCAGTCAATCAGTTTATTGATAAGTTTATTTTTAGTTCACTTAATTATTTGTGAAACAAAATGGAGAATATCAATAATTTGGTAGATGATATAAATTATATAAACATGCAGGCACATCTGCTACAAATAAAAAACGACGAATTGATGGACATTGCGCTGAATTTACGAACAGCTGCGACAAGTGCTGGACAGCGAGCAACCGATACGCTGTCGGTGAATGTTGATCTCAGTGCGGATAATCCTCTGACTAAAAGAATGTAAGCATTAAAGTATTAATTCAATAATTGATTAGTATTCAAGCTATACAATTCTGTTTAGAGTTAAAGGTCGTGCGCACGGCAGTGAGCACATGTTGTTGGTCGGTAACTCGACGACCGTTATGATCGATTAACCAAGTGACGCTCGGGAAGACCGAGCGAGGCGCTGAACGCCTTGTTTCTTTGTCCACGCTTCTTCTTCGTGTGGTCGTTGCATTCTTCAGCCATCTTGTGAAGACGCCGGCCGGCACTTCGTGTTCTTGTGATTTCTGTAGTGAGAAAAACGTTCTCGGGGGAACGTCGATTGATTGATAATCCGCGCGAGGAGCTTTAGCTCAACTGAGGCTAGTAGCCTGTGTACTGATAAAGTGAGGCAGTAGCCTAATCGCTATAATAGCGACCGAAATGTAGAGAAGATTCTCGAAGATCGAGAAGCGTACGTTCTACGAGGTAGACGTACAACGATCCCACAATGGTGGGAGTGAGCATTTGATCCTCCAGGTACCTGTGAGAATGACAAAGAAAGATGAACTCGAGTAAGTTCATGTAAGAAATCAAGGCTCAAACCGAGGTTACGATCCGTGGCAATTTCTGCGGATATTTTGGCGGCTGGAAGCCTTGTAAATTTGCTGATTATTTGTAAGTACTTTAATTTTCAGTTTTTATTCCACAGATTGTTATAGTTTCCTTCACTCCCATCGTCGTGCTGTCTATCAAGGAGGATATTCAAGTCTTACTTACTAGCTTCCTGTGCCCATCTCTACGACATATATATAGATATTCCTTCCACGTAAAATAAACAGTTGAAAATCAGTTATTCGATAATCATATTCTTATTTTTTTTATAATTACATCCTTGTCATAAATAACGTTACATGGTAATAGTTTCTTTGTTTCTATCTAATCTTAATAATTCGTACTTGAATATAACTCTTTTGAAATTATCTATAGTTTTTATATTTGTTAAAAATTGGCATGAATAAGCTATCGAACAAATTCCGTTTGACACGTTAGTCTTGACTGAAATAATTTTTTAAAGTTTTCTTTTTCTAATGAGTTAATTGTCTATTGATTTGGATTATTGACTTTATAATTATATTCTTTTGTTCCAGACATGGTACTGCTACTATATTTGCTAAATTGAATAGGTTGCTTGACGTTTTGATTGCATCAGCAAAAATATGCGAAAGCGATGCCAACAACGTTGGCCGAAGAATTAGAAAATATAGGAGGAGTGTTAATGATGATAATGAGGAGTATGATGATGATAATGATAATGATGATGACATTGCTTTTATGTTGAAGCGAAGAGCTATAAATTAACATTTCAAAAAGATTTAAAGTTATACATAAATGTGTATATATGTGTGCATAAAAATAATAAATAATTGTATTAATAGGATATCTCAGTGTATTTGTCATTACTTGCTTCCTTCCATTCTTCCTTCGCGCGGTATCGTGTTACATCGCGCTGCGACAGCATCAACGCGTGCCGACAACCACGTGCGCATCGTTATCGCGCTCGCGGCTCGATAGAATAAATAATAATTACTCCTATAGAATAAGCAATATATTTGTGTGCGATCTTATTATTACGCAATCTTTTTAATTTATAAAATAAAACAATTTGTGTGACAAAGATGCGAAATATAGTCGCATAAGCAGATAGCAGCGCATAAGAGGAAGAGAGACGGTAAGTATAGCGCGGTGGCGGCGGCCCACGCGCGATAACGGCGGCGAACCACGCCCGGAGGGACCGCGTCCGGAGGTTACTGATCCCGCGACGACAACGCTGGCCCCGTAATTCTCCTCCCGCGCGAATTTCCCACGACGTTAGCACCCTGTGACGTCATTTTCCTCCCCGTGACATCATCATCCCCGTCCCCTCCCCTCCCGTGACGTCATATCCCTCGCCCTGTTACGCTATTCCCTTCCCCTCCGTGACGGCATACCCCTCGCCCAGTGACGTCACCCCCTCCCGTGACGTCACCCCCTCCCGTGACGTCATACCCCCTCTCGCCTCGGGTTCCCCTTGTCCCTCACCCCCCTCAGAGGACCTGGGATAGAACCCTTCCATATACTCTACTCACGTACACATACGTGGCCATATGTATAATACAACGCAAAGAATCAAAGAAAAACTTTAATTTATAGGTAACTTTAGAGAAGTCTCGGACCCCTTTCATGCGACGCGTGATTTCGAAAATTTGTTTTTTGTATCGTAGTCGGGGGACCGCGGTGCGTGTTTGCGTTTTAGTTGAGATACATTAAGACTCGTTCTTCTCGTTTTCGGAAAACCGCCGATGGGAAAACTCCCGGTCGTTCGAATTTATTCGTAATCCGATGATCGTCGAGAGTAGTCGGTTTTCTGACAGTCGTCTCACATTGTATTATCTTCCCTAAGAAGTGTATTAGGTGAAGAGAAAGAGATTTATATTTTATATGCTAATGCTATGATAAAAAAAAAGCAACATAGAAATATGCAAAATTTACGTTTTAAGTATATAAATTGCGAGGGGCATGTCACTCTCGAGTCAAATCACATAAACATTAGCAAATAATTGCAATCGATTTCAAGCGATTTTTCCCACGATTTCAAACATTATAATGATAAAGCGCCAGATTACGACTCGCGTTGACTTGTATTCTTTATTTTCACTGGTTCTATTGATACATTACTCATACGATTTCATATGTATGTCATTATAATTTGCATTTGATTCTATTATGATTTCTAACGTTATTAACGTTAAAAACTATTGACTCGCGAGTAACATGCCCTTCAATAAATTAAATATGTTAAAATTATACTGTAAGTAATACCACCATAATTTATTTTACACACGAATCTCATACAGGATGAAGCATCTAAAACAGGTCACCTAAATAACTCGCTTGTTTTTAATGATACGGAAAAATGTTTCAAATGAAAGTGGAACGGTTTCGAGAGGATGTGTTTTGGTCACGTTTTTTGCCTAAGTGGAGGCATCAAAAAGATATGAAAGTCACCTCCGCTTTTTAAAATGGAATTACATGAATCTTTTTACATAATATACTTTAACAATTCTGTATATAAAAGTACAGATATAAAGGTACAGATATAAAAAGCAAAAAGTTTACGAGATATTATATCAAGAGAACATATATCAAGGGAAGTCAGTTAGTGCAGTGCGTTGTAACGATCCAAGGCGACGGCAAAGAATAGGGAGAAGAAAAATGGAAGGCTTGCGACCAGCGAAAATGCGCGCCATCTAACACATGTGCTGTTAACTGTTTGGTCGGCCATGTTAGATATGAAACGTTAGGTTCTAGATTCAAAAGATACTAGAAAGTTGTTTCTTTGGTGTGAGACGTAAAAATATTAATCATTTATTTTTGTCCATGTATGCAATAAGCGTGTTATTTATATTATAAAATTATAGTTATAAAGTATAAATATAGAAAAATGAGTCGCGGTGCATACTGTTTTGTGAAAACTTGTTATTATAATAAGTTCGATAATCCAAATTTGTCATTTCTAATGTTGCCAAAAGATCCTTCTATGTAAGTTATAGATTAATTAATATTGATTTTTTAATAATAACTAATATCTAATGTATATTTTCAATGTTTTAAAGAGCAAAGAAATGGGTAGAGTTTCGAGATCGAAAAGATTTACTAAAAGATGATTTGTATAATAGAAAAAAATATACAATGTGTAGTAACCATTTTACAGAAAAGGATTTTAAATCAATCTATCCACGAAGGTTATTGTGGTCAAACACTGTTCCATCAATGAACGGGCCAAAATATAAATATGGTAAGACACATAAAAAAAAATTAATTAAACTTATAAAAAATATGTCTGTTTTTTAAACTCTTTATAGACATGCCGTCTTCGCAATGTGAATCTAATGAATACACTGATGTTGAGAAAACAAAGTTAAATAATGTCTGTCAAGACTTTGTCACCGAATCAACAAGTTGTAGCTTTTCCGATGGTAAGTTTTATATACTATTCTCATACAATACATATTTTAATTTGTTGTTTACTTTCAGAAAGTAGTGCCACAGACTTACATCCTAAGATTAAGAGGAAAACCAGTCAATACACTGATGTTGAGAAGTCAAATAATGTCTGTAAAGACTTTGTCACTGAATCAACAAGTTGTAGCTTTTCCGATGGTAAGTTTTATATACTATTCTTATACAATACATATTTTAATTTGTTGTTTACTTTCAGAAAGTAGTGCCACAGACTTACATCCTAAGATTAAAAGAAAAATCAGTCAATACACTGATGTTGAGAAGTCAAATAATGTCTGTCAAGACTTTATCACCGAATCAACAAATTGTAGCTTTTCTGATGGTAAGTTTTACAGAGAGGATTCCGATAGCGCACATCGTTAATTGACTAATTTAAAATAAAATGTTCTCATTGATAAAGTAATAAAAAATTACTAGGCAGCAGCTCTGGCTGATGTAAATTGATGTGTGCTATTATGATGTGCACCAACGAAACATTCCCAGTTTTATATGTACTATAATTCGCTAAAGCACATAATGTGTATCTTCCAACAAGCGACACAGATTACACGATGTGATACAGTGTATCATGACATCCTTTTTATTCGCCAATATTAAACAAGGATGAGATGATCACTGTATTGTACTGTGTCGCTTGTTGGAAGGTACACAATATTTCAGCAATATTGTGATATTGCTGCAATGTTCCATGCTAATGAAAAATTTTTTTGCTAATACTTATTATGTATCCGTTGCAGATAAAAATGTATTCAATTTATCTGCTATTTTTTATTTATCTGCTATTCTTTATGTTGCTGAAATACATAAAGTTCTTGCATATTATGAATGTAAACTATTAATATGTTATTAATGTTTTTTCGTAAATTAAATATATATCTATACATACGTATGAAATAGAAATAAAAATAAAAGATCTTTTAGTATTAGAAATATATTATAGTAATAAGTCTAGTATTAAAAATATTCTTAAAAATTGTGTGTTTACAATAAGTATTTAATAAAAGAATACATTAATGTGTAATAACATTACACTTTACATTAGTATATGCAGCAATATGAATAAGGACTTTGATGGCTCAAGATAAGAGACTTGTAGTGTCTCTCAGTTTTTGAACATGGCTGGAGACACTACCGCGTCTCCTGATACATTTACATTGTGCCATTTATCTGTACATAATTCGTCTCTGTTTTTCATCGAATTTTTTGTAGGAACTTGTGTTTTGGATGGCCGTTCAACTCCAACAATGATATTAAAGAAAAAAAATCGGAGCAATGTAACACCAAGGTCTAAAAAACGGCTAAATCATTATAAGAAGATGAATAATATTTTGAAATGTAAATTGTTCCGTGAACATAAGAAAAAGTCATGTATTTGTAGTTTTGGCAATCGAACTGTTGATCGAACATTGGCTAATCGAAAAATCAATGCGTTAATTGCAGACTCAAAACAATTCTTATCAAAAGAGGCACATTCCTTATTTTCTTTTCAATGTAAATCTGCTTTTAAATCGAAACATAGTAGACGATATGATGATTGCATGAAACAGATTTGCTTAACTTCGTACTATAACTCTCCGAAAAGCTGCAATGCATTACGCAAAATTTTAAATTTACCAACACCGCGAACTTTGAGAACTTGGCAATCTGCTGTACAGATTGATACGGGAATTAACAGTATGGTTATACAATCCATAACAAATTACTTTGCAATAAATAAAAATAAGCATGAAAATTTATGTTCTATTATGTTTGATGAAATTAGTTTGAAGGAAGAATTGTTTTATCATGTTAGCAAAGATAAAGTTATCGGAGTTATTGACAATGGAGAAAAACGTACAAATGCATTAGCAAATTCTGCACTTGTGTGTATGGTGCGAGGTATAACATCAAATTGGAAACATGTAATTGGATTTTGGTTTCTTGGTAAATCTGAAACCAATGTAAACATGTATAAAATTATAATGCAATGTATAACAAGTTTATATGATGCAGGTGCAATAGTAAAATTATTAGTTTGTGATCAAGGGCCTAGTAATAGAAGTTTAGCTAAAAAACTTTGGATTGATGAAAGTAAAACTCATTTCGAGTTTCGGGGCAATAAAATCTATTTTGTTTATGACGTACCTCATCTTTTAAAATCAACTCGAAATAATCTGATGAAATATGATTTCTTATACAAAGGGCAAATTATAAGTTGGAAGCATATTTCATCTATTTTTTTAGCTCAAAATCCAATTACTATACGAATGTTACCAAAAATAACTTTGCAGCACATAAATGTTAACAATTTTAATGCTATGCGAGTTAAATATGCTGCTCAAGTTTTTAGTGACACTATGAGTGTAGCACTTCTTGTCGCAAAACATTTTAAAGTTGTTGGGCCCGAATCAGAATATACAGCAAATTTTGTTAAAGATATGGACAATTTATTCGATACTCTCAATAGCTGTCGTCTTAAAGAAGACAAAATCAAATTAAGATACGCTATGAGTAAAGACTCGCCTCATGAGAAAATTTTAACAGATATGAAATATAATTTACAAAATAGTAAATTTATTGGGACTAATAAACCAGCATGTTTAAAAGGGTGGGTTATAAGTATTACTAGCATTTTAGCTTTGGCAAAAGACTTACGTGATAATTACGATGTTGAAAAACTATTGACAAGGCATTTGAATCAGGATCCCCTTGAAAATTTTTTTGCCATTGTTCGACAACAACATGGAAATGTAAAAAATCCGAATCCATATCAGTTTCAAAATGGAGTGCGACACACATATATCACTACAATTTCAAAACTGTCAGAGAATAGTAATTGTGAAGATGACAACACATTCACATTGACGAAAATAATGAAATTGTCTCATAAAAAAAAGTTTATCAAGCCAGTGAATGAAGCACATGTAGACATTAGTAATGTACAAAATCAAATTGAGGAACTAAAAGATTTACCTGACATACTAGATGTTATACATTCGAAGATTGATATTGATAGAAATGGAATTTATTATGTTGCAGGATACTTTTGTAACAAATTTGTAAAAATTCATAAATGCGCAGAATGTAAAAAAATTATTTTCGACAGCGACAAATTACTTGTAGGCGATCATCAGTTGTTTACCTACTTTAAGCAGTGTGATAAATTGAAAGACAGTCAAGGATTAAAATTCGTAACAGATGCAGTATTTGATGTCATTCAATCACTTGAAGCAATACATAATAGTTTATTTAATAAGTTTTTGAAAAGTAAGAGTTTAACAAAAGATTTGCTTTTTATTGTACAAAATAAATATAACGTACAAATCAAATTATGTTCAAAAGAATCAAGTGTGTTATTTTTCAAATTATTTTTAAAAATTAGGAATTTATGGGCTGTTCGTTCATTAAATAAAAATAAATTCAGCAAAATTAAAAATAAAAAAAATCAGAAGTTGAGAACCGTTATGCACGAATAATGATGAAATTTTTAATGAGAGTTTTAGTGAAAGAGCATGTTTTATAGGTTGCACATCTGAGGGTGGGTTCGCACCTTTGGTCTTTGTTCAAAATGAGAAAAAACTTTTGAGAAGCAGAAAAACAGCAGTCAATTAGAACTCGCGCTGGAAGAAATACAGACAGCAGAAACTATCTACCAGCGTATGTTCTGTTGGCTTTCTATTTTTCTAGGAACATTTTGAGAATATTTCAACGTTCTGAGAACGTTCAAAAGGATATCTCATCTGGAATAAAGGATGCGGTCGAGTTGCCACTACGAATGCTTTGAAGCGTTTCTTGATTGGTCAATTTGTAAAATTCTTTCTTTTGATTGGTCAATCAAACGCTTCAAAACATTCGTAGTGGCAACTCGACCGCACCCAAAGTGTGCTATATGAGTATAATTCATGTTACGTATACTATAGCAAAAATATTCACCAAGCTGCATTCTGTTATTCACTGCATGAACTGAAAATTTATAAGTTCACATTATGTATACTATAGATTTTCAGTACTTGCAGTGAATAACGGAACGCAGTTCAGAGTTATCTTGGCATAATTCCTAAACTTTTTGTCCAACAGTACAATTTTATTTTATTTTTTTACTTCATTTATTATTTCAACAGTCAGTTGACACTAAATTCTATTGAAGTTTCGTTTTCTGCGTTATAATAAATTGTATTTTATTTCTATTCGTTATGCGATTATTTATTATACTGTATTATCATAATCCTATTCTTTATTTTCATGTGATAAGTATAACTATTTTATAATACTAAAAATTGTTGCGTTACACCATTTTTAGAAATTTTATAATTCTTTATTTTCATGTGATAAGTATAATTATTTTATAATACTAGAAATTGTTGCGTTACACCATTTTTAGAAGTTTTACAATTATTTTATTATGTGCGTTGCGATATTTATAATTATAATATATCTAATACAACATTGTTTGAATAAATTATTTTTCAAATATATATATATTTTATTTACTTTTTAATTTAACATTGTTAAAAATGATGTTTAATTATTTTTTATTAAAAATTATATTTAATAATGATTTTTAATTGTTTTCAACTGAAAAAGTAATGATGCTATTTATTTGACAGTATTATTTTTCCACATAAAATATTTAAAAATCGTTAATGTAAAATTTTCAATCAAAAATAAATAATAATAATTAATAAAAATAAATAACATTACGATTGCGCGCGTGTGTGCGTGCATGTGTGCGAGCGCGTGTATGGTGCGCGCGCGTGTTCAGTTATGTTAGGTTGGGTACATGTTGCGTGCGCCATCTGCTATTTCTGCTGTGTACTATAGCCTAAAATGAGGGTCGTTTCTTAACATGGGTTGTATATGGAGCCTTCCATTCTTCTTCTCCCTATTCTTTGGGCGACGGCCTCAGGCATAGTCGTACCCATGGTGGAAATATACAAAGTGAGTCGTTGCGCATAATGGTGGCAAAGAGTGGAGGGGACATGTGTAGTTAGCCAATCACTTATGACCCATTGTGCACAGTAAACACAGCTATATTGGATTTATGCCAAATGGGGCATATATGATTGGCTGCATCTGCTCTCCACTACTTTTAGGCTACTGCGCATCCACGGGAACGACTCACCTTGTATATTTCCACCATGGTCGTACCTGTCTTAAAATACAGGCGACGGCCTCAGGCGTTGCCGCAGAAGATCGGCTCAGGTGGTTGCCTAAAGCGCACTAATACATCGTGAACTATCAGGCGACGCTCCAGGCGGCGCCACAAGTAGTGTTATAGTGGGAGTTCTAACTCGGGAGCTCCAAGGGGACGCGAGGGATTCTTCGGAGGTGGGGGTATGGCGTCGTGAGGCAATAACAATAAGATAGTACAGATTTTGGGATTGCAGTCACGTACAAGACAAAAAAAATCACAAAAAATAGGGAATATCACCATAAATAATAAATACAGGAAAAATAAATAATTATAAACGATAAGTGTTACAAAGGATACGTGCACTAACTGTTTTTTCAGCTGAGATATGGTGTAACGTAATTTTTTTTCTAAAAACATTTATTAAGGGGTTACTGGACTGAAAAATTGATTTTTTTAATTTAATAGTACAACATCTCAGGAGTGTTGTATGTAAATTTCAAGACATTCGGTGAAAAACTTCCGGAGATATGAATTTTTGAATCTCGGCGTGCGGCGAGTCGGTATAAACGCGCAGCAGGCGACCTGCTTTATCGCTGTATGGTTCAGCAGGGCCAGTTCAATATCGAGCAATTCTGAAGTATATTTGCGTCGTGGTTTTGTTTTTCTCTTCGTGAACGAAAAGTAATTTTTCAAAAAATGGGGAGGAAAGTGACAAGAATCGCACAAGAGAAAACTGCTAAAAGATTATGTAGGTCTAAGAAAAAGGCAAATCCGATGAAACGAAAAATCAGTGAGATCTCAAGGAGCAGTGCGTCGGCAAAAAAAATTAAAACAACTCAAGAATTTGAAGTGCCTGAGGACGCGGAAAAGCATTACAGAATAATACATTTTTTATTAGTTTTCAATACTATTTCAACGTTAGTGAAGTGCGTGGCATGTGGTGAAAAAATAAACTTTAAATCATGTGATAAACAAAGTTTGGGTTTCAAGATTGAAGTAAAATGTAAGATGTGTTCAGAGAAAAATTACGTTCCGTCAAGTGAAAAAATCGACCAAAAATATGAAATAAACTACAGATTTATTTTTATTATGCGTTTATTAGGCGTTGGAAGTTCAGGATGTAATAAATTTTGTGGCTTAATGGATCTAGGATGCACGTTTTTGGATTACAAATCCTACGAAAGGTATTTCGACAAAATTATTGAAATTGTGGAAAATGTTGCAAATCGATTTTTCTCATCTGCAGCAAACGAAGAGAAAAAAGAAACGATGAAAAAGAATAAAACGTCGGATTTGACCGTATCGGGTGATGGTTCATGGAAGAAGCAAGGGTTTAATTCACTGTATGGTGTGGCTTCACTAATAGGATATTATACCGGTAAAATTATAGACGTAGCTGTAAAAAGTGCTTATTGTGAAAAATGTAAAATGTGGGAAAATAAATGTAAAACTGCAGAATTCGAAGAATGGTACGAAGATCACGTGCAGAAAAACGAATGTGATAAGAATCACGCGGGACCTGCAGGGAACATGGAGGTAAACGCAATCGTGGTGTTACGTCCTGTAGACTCCACGATTCTTTTCTTTCAAAGGATCTTGGTCAGCGTCATGACCAGAGTGAAATTTACGAGAAGGGCCCGAGCGCGGATATCTGATAATCGAGGCCTAAGTAAACACCACGCGCTGGGAAACTCGTAAATGCCACAAAAGAAAAATAAAACGAGGAAGACAATTTGCGTACAAAGGGCTGACGGAGTTAAAAATTGCGAAACCACATATTTCTAAGCGGCCATTAGATAACGAACATTCTAAGGTATCATCTGGGAATTCTAAGAAAACTAGCTTAAAAAAAATAACTGGCGCCATGGCCATTGTGCCAAATCGTAAAACTCTTAGAGAATTTCCCACAGCAATGTTCATTTGACATCTAATAAATGAAGCGCGGAAACCGACGACTCTTCTAGTCATATATTTTTTCTACAACAAAGCGCAACTGTAATTTCCTACGCATAAAACCCTCAAGAGAAATTGTAAATTACTTTATTTTTCTTAACTCCCCGAGAACACGCGAGATCAACCTCGATAGGACTAGCAAAAATCGTAAAATCCTTTATTCTCGGAGCTCTTCCTAGAAGACGCTTGATATCAACATCGATAGGAGTTAAGAAAAATCGTAAATTATGTCACAAGTTGCTAGCGTTGCAAAAATTTCCAGACAAAGGAAAAGCCCTTTTGGGGTATAAATACGAAGCCCTCGGAAGCGCACAGCGTCAGTAGTAATCTTCAGCACCACCGTGTCAGTAGTCCGAGGCGATAAGCCCGAGTCTACTGTCCGGCCTCTCTTGTTCGCGCAGTCACCTCTTTGGTCGACAGTCAGTTGTCCGAGGCATCGCCCGAGTCAACTGACCAAGATCTGGTGGTCGATTAAAATCAGTGCCTCGAAGTCCACCAGGACCATCCTCGACCGACCGTGCGCCTCCGAGGCTTCGT